CCCATTCTTTTCTTATTCATCTTTACTCTCGCTGATCATATTCTCAGAGTCTTCAAGGCTCAACAACATCTCATATACTCCTGGTAAGAAATACCATGGATAGGGGTCACCCAAAAATACCACTTCCTTTTGTCACCCAGCCTAAAACAACATAACACCTCCACCAAATTCACAACAATATCTGGATGGAACGAGGCAAGTCTGAAAACTTTCTATAATATCCCTCGATCATCACCTTCCTTGTCTCATATTTGTAAACTCTTGTTTACTACCATCAATAAATGCCAGAGGGATAAACTTTTCCTTAAACAATTTTAAATCGGTTGTTCCTCCGATGACAACAAATCATACTCCTGTTTCCACCAGGATACAAATTCATACCCAAAACCAGGTAGTCGTCTCGACCCCCTGTCAGAAGGAAGATTCCTTTGACTTGCATAATCCGAAACATCTTTTCCAAATGGTTAAACCGTTACTTCGCTCCCTCAGGTTCATCATTTCTCTTAAGTGATTCAAATTCAACTCATAACCCATCTTAAAATGTCCCTTTTTATAATAGACTGAATCACCATAATAATAGTTTCCCCTAAACCGTTATATTAGGGAGACTAAATTCCTCTAACTAAGTGGCTTGCTACGAGGCGGTGTAGTTCTGACAGAATTCACTAGAACTTCTCAAAATGTCCAAGATTGCAACCATGCTCTGATACCAACTGACACACCCCGTCCCGAAGGAGGGCATGCTGGCCGTCACGTGAGAGTGACGTAACCATTTGCACAGTACGGAAGCTTTAAGATACAATTTATAAGTTGATACACCCGAAGGTGAGTCCTAATTTTGTCCAATCTGTCAGAACCCCGCTGTATTCCTCGTAGTCACCACACCTTTGTGATTCCTGAACCTGGAGGGGCGCAAAACCAAAATTGAGTGGGTCAGTAAAACAATTCTTTTCCAAATCCAAACATTTTTCAAAACGTTGTAACCCCTCTCTGTAAAACCTGTATATTTTCCCAGAAATGTAAAATATAAATATACATATATATTCTCAATACTTTAATTCATTAACTCAACATTTTTTCTTTATCAATCATGCCATGCCATGTCTAATTCAACAGTTAAGTATGGATGCATCAACAATAATCATATCAGGTGCAAGAAAGTAATCAACCGGAGGCCCTCTAATAGCCCTGTACGGTTGAACCTAGAGCTCAAAATCTATCATTATCACTCTACCGGAGTCACCTCTGTGACCCGTCCGGCCTTCTGCACACAAGTTACGCTCTAGTGCTTCTCATAAATCATCTGTGCACATAATCTAAGGTCACCCACCAGTCGGAATCTCACTAACACTCTCGCGACTGGTCTGTCGTACCCACTCCGCGTGGACTGTACGACTAGCATCTACTTGGATCCAAGGCGAGCGTGCGATGCGGTGAATACTATAAGCACTAAACCATGGTGCAGGATTTGAGCTCAATATATATCATCATCATCATAACAGTAATTAAATACTCACCTGTGCGTCCACCGCACCATTTCATACATATGCATCATAAATCAATTCTTACCTGTGCGTCCACCGCACCAATTCATACATATGCATCATATATTAATTCATGCATGGCATTTCAACTCACATTTCTATATACTTTTCATATCAATTCTATGCATTTTCATTTAAAGCATAATTTCATGCATTTTCAATTTCTGGGAAACGTCAAGTATATATATATATATACGGAAAACAAAACTGCCCACTCACCTGGAGTTCGCCCTACAACTCCCTAGCACAATACGCCAAGGCGTCATGACGATCGGCGCCTAAAACAATAATCAATTCCAACCTCAGAATTCATATCGATAGAATATATAACTTATATAAAATACGTCACTACGTAGATTGATCCGGAAGATCCACCACTCAGATTTTAATCCATAACTTCCAGAGGTCCACATTATACCTCTAGGACAACATCCTAAAATTTCATTACCATCCAACGGTCGGATCTCCGTCAATTTCCAAAACTAAGTGACGGTTAACATTTTATATTATGGACTTACAATTCCAATTCCGGAAGATCCGTAATTCGGATTCCCAATCCGTAAGTTCCAATAATCCTCAAATATTACGTATTACAACGTATCAAAGTTTGGTGACGATCCAACGGTCGGATCATCAATTCACATTTTCACCTAAATGTGAAAACTATAAAACGTTATTTGAACACCTAACCAACAATCTTCAATAACTTTCTCATACGGTGTTCAATTTAGGTATATGAATATACCACAGTGATCTACTCGACGTCACGGACGTCGACATATTTTTAAAATAATTTTATTTTTATTTTTTATTTTTACTGTAGCACCTTCTTCTTCCTTGGGTCGCCGGACTGGTTTTTCCGGCGGCCGTTTTCTGAGCAGTTTTTCAAATTGCCATAACTTTGTCATTTCTCAACGAAATCAAGTGATTCAAAAACGAAAGTTGTAGCCCTTGAAGAGACAAAGAGAATGGTACCTTGCACAACACCTAGTTAGCCGTGGTTTGGCCGGAAACTGCCTCGAAAGCCTCGGAGGTCGCCGGAAACTGGGTATTTTTCAAATGAGTATAACTTCTTCAATACTCAACGAAATTGAGTGAAACAAAAATGAAAGTTATAGTACTTGACGAGACGAAGAGATTGATACCTACCTCGACTCCTAACTCGCCGGGGATTCGCCGGAAAACGCCTCGAAAGCTCCGGCCAAACTTTGAACTTGTCGATCTCCGTGTTCTTACGTCCAAAAACTTCCAACGAAGCACTCCGAGCTTCCTTGGGACATCCTAAAGCTCACTATGAGCTTGGATTGTCCTAAAACAAAGTCAATTCGAAGATCATGAACAGTGCACTTTCACGGGAGTTTAGAATCTAGGTTTTCCGAAGTAAAACTTACCTGAAATTGGTGTCTACGTGATCGTGGAGTCTCCAGGAGTTCGATGGTGGTCTTAACTCCGTCGTTGGTGGAAGTTTAAGGTTGTTTTGTGGTTGGTTTGTTCGAACGGAGAAGAAGAGTGACAGAGAGAGAGAGATTCGTGAGGGAGGAGAGAGAGAGACAGTATGCAGAAAATAGGGAGAGGATTGAGGGGTGTGGGGATCTCACGTGTCCAACTCAATCCAAATTGTTAAATTTTCGCCCCTTAGTCCCGTTTAAGGGCATTTTCGTCTTTTTATGTCCTCGGAATTAAAATTCCGGGACGGGCTGTGACAGTTAAAGTTAGTTGTTAGAAGGAAGAAAAATTGGTAGAAATCGGAACTGCACCAGGACGTATAGACAAAATTTATTTCTGTCAGTAAATCAAATATAAACTCAGTTGGCAAAACCCTAAAAAATAAATAAACCCAAGGAAAAAAATATAATTTCAAAATAAAAGTAAAAACAAGAAAGACTCACAAAATTCGTGTACTTTCTCAGTTTATAGTTTTCAGTTAGAGCCTTAGAACATCTCCAAAGGAGACGTTAAATTCAAAACATCAAATTTAAGTTTGATGGCTGATTTGACAATTTAACATATTGTCAATATGTTCCTTTTACCCGCTATGTCAAAATTTATTGCTTCATTTATGTTTTTTTTAAAACAAAAATAATAGAATTGGGTTGTTGTTGGTTTAAAAATAATAAAATAATGCTTAAATATGTTAGCATATAAGGTAAGGCAAATGAAATGCTATGGAAATAACAAAAATTAAATTTGAAGGCTAGCATATAAGGTAAGGCTATGAAATGCTATTGACATCTCTTTATCAATGTAAGCTTAGGTTTCTTTTCTATGTCATTTTTTTTAGAGTAAGTGATTCGTCATTTGTTATCGTTATAAGTTTATTTGGGATTTTTGACATCCTTCTTTTTCATGTAATATTTAACGGAGTAAATAGGATGTTATTTGTTACCATTATAAGCCTATATGCTATTTTTCACATCTTTAGAGGAGGTGGTCTTAGGCCATCTCCAACCGAAGGGTCCAGAGGGCCAGAGGGCCGAAAATAGCCCTAAAACCGTCTCCAACTGAGGGCTAGGCCAGAGGGCTCGAGAATCTGGGAGGGCCCCACGGGATCGGAGAGGGCTGGAGGGCTGGCTGCTTTCGGCCAGCCAGCCAGCCCCGGGCTGGCTATTTTTTTTTTTTAATGTTTCTTATTTCTGTCGGTTACAACCGACAGAAATAACATTTTGAATTCAAACTTCCAACGGCTAGCGCCACTAGCCGTTGTAAATCCTTTTTTTTTTTTATGAATTTAAACCTTTTTTTTTCTTTTTTTTTCTATAACTTCCTATAACTTCTATTTTACAAAATTTGTTTCAATTTTTTTTAATTCTATTTTTTTCCTATAACTTATATTTTACAAAATTTGGTTCATATTTTTTTCATATAACTTCTATTTTACAAAATTTGTTTCATATTTTTTTTTTAAATTCCATTTTTTCCTATAACTTCTATTTCACAAAATTTGTTTCATATTTTTTTTAAATTCTATTTTTTTCCTATAACTTCCTAAGCCATTATACAACGTTAAATTAAATTAAGTAACATGAAACAACATTAAACAATATGAAACAACATTAAATAACATTAACCGACATAAAAATTATACAACACTAACCAACATGATTTTTAAATAAAATTAAGTGTAGTTTTTAAATAATAAATTATGTTTGGCCCTATGGCCCTCGGTTGGAGACGGTTTTTTTTTACAGGGCTAAAACGAGCCATCTGGCCCTCTGGCCCTCGGTTGGAGACGGAGGCAAATATGGCCCTGTACTGTTCATTAAAATATTAATATCTTGGAGAATCTTGGAGGGCCAGAGGGCTAAAACGAGCCTTCTGACCAGCCATCGGTTGGAGATGGCCTTAGGACCAAAAACCTCAAAATGCCACCACAAGTCCCTCCTATGAAAGATTTCAAATCGACTCCCTTTGTCTGAACCTCCAAAAACCCACCTAAAACCCTCAGCCAACAAATCAATGCCGCCTCCAGCTTCACCGTCTATGCCGCCGGAGATGGTGGTCCACAACAGCTTCTTAGGGTTCCTCGTATGGCAGTCCATCCCCTCCATCGTCATCTTCTTCCTGTTCAAAACCCTCTCATCAGCCGTCCCCTCCGCTTCTCCCTCGGCCACCAAACCCCCACTCACATTCCCGTTCGCCCCATCGATATTCGCCCTTTTTACGTTTTTGACCTTCCACCTTTCCCAGGTCCTCTTCTCGTTCTCGCTCTCCCTCGTCTCCTCGCCCCACCCCCACCGCCCTGCTTCTCTTCTCCAGCTCGTTCTTGGGCTCGTTCGATTCCTTTCCATTCCGGGCGTCCCTGATTCGTCAGAGACCCCGGATTCCCGGGCCCGGGCTAAGCTTTCGGTGGGTTTGCTGATGTTTTTGGGCGCCGCGGCGGTGTCAGGTTTTGTTGCGGTGGCTTCGGTGTGTGGGGGGTTTGGCGATGGGCTTTCGGCGATTGGGAGAGTGGGGTTTAGGGGTTTAGTGATGGGGTTGCTTTATGGGCTGTATTATGTGTATAATCGCAGGTGGGTCTTGGAGTTTCCCATTATTCAGGTCAGTTTTTGGCTACTTTTATACAAAGTTTGAATCTTTCTCTGTGTAATGTGATGTTACATGAGGTGTGTTAAGAGAAATGTATAGCTGAGTACAAAAATATGACAAAAATATGCAGTTTATGTGATATGATTTTTCAGTCTTGGAGATCAGATCACCAAGTCCTGGCCCAATTCTCTCTACTTCTTTTTTGCTGGCTTGCAATACATTGCGTGTGGAAGCATGTTTAATTTACTGGTTGAGATTTGAGATTGCTGTTTGCACTCATTTACTAAGTTTTCTGTCATAAGAAATTCTTAGCCTTGCTTTGATTTTCTCATGTTGTGTTTTGCTTTCTACTCACACAAGTCATGACTCTTACACTACTTGTTTATGTCAACAGCGTCCTCCTTTTTTCAGCTTCAAAATGGGGCTCCTTCGGCTATCACACGATCCTTGAAGCTTTCCTTTGTGGCGTACCTTTTTTCAGCTGCTCTGCTGGTGTTTCTGCCACACCACAATCAGAACCAGGCTACAACTGGAAAGTTTATTGCTGAGCAGATCAGACTCTACACTGGGAGTTTCTTAGTGTTACTATGCTGGGAACTAAGTCACCATTTACATCGGGTTGGTTCTTCAAACATATCAACATGTTTGTTAATTTTCATTAATACTACTGCAGGTACTTGAAAGCAGCATTGAATTAGCTATTGTTTTTATGACTTGTGTTTATGATTATTTGAATATAGAAGTTTGTGGAACATTCTTGCTTGTTTTATTAACCCCTTCAAATGCTTGCTCTTCATTGGATCCTCTCCCCCTACAGTTATAAGAATGAATATAACTTAAAAGTAACAGAAGTCGTGACTGGAATATAGAGCTTCATGCAGCATTGACCTGTTCAATTGATGAAGAATATTTCTTGCAATTTTGTGCTACTTTAATTTGGCCCATCTTATATGATTGCATTAGGAACCTTGTGGGTCTGGTGTTAGTATTGAACATTCAGACATCACTCCATGGACATGCATATCAGTGTTTCTTCTTAGTAGCTTTTGATGGGATTTTAATACGAATTAGATAACTTCTCTTTTTTCGGATGTGAACTTTACTACTTAATGACACTAGAAAACCTACGTCTTGGTCATATACCATGCTATATGGCATACTCTTTATAAATCACACAGCTTGATCTCTTGTTAAAGAATCTGAATACTTGGTGCTATTTGTTTGCCCCTTTCCTTTTATAGTTAACCATGGCTGTCTTCTGATTTGAATCTATATGTGTTTGAAATTGTGTTGTAATGCAGGTGCTTCATACAAAGAGATTCGTATTTGCACCACCTAAAGGATCAGCGGCAGCAGAAACAAATCCAAGTGAGATTCTCCTTGCAGCTCTGGAGGAGAGCAGTCCTAGTTCTCTTCTTCAGTATCTTGCCTATCTTGATCTCTGTATGGTTTGCGAGAATAATGTGGATGCTTGGAGAAGAGCTGCATTTTTTGAGGAAACTGGTGAAACTTACAGAAGAGTTATATCTGTATGCTTGCGGCCTCTGGAGCAGCTTGCATCCAAGATGGGTGAAGTCTTGGAAAGTTCCGTTGAAAACGGCTCCCGAATATCCAGTCAGTTACTGCCCCCAACCGACCAGCGACTAGACTCAAAATACTCTGAGCCTTTGGATAACTTCCAGGTAAACATATCGGTTCTTGATTCTACTTGTGGATATAACCTACACGTGTGTATGTCTTCCTACTCCGTTTAGTCAAACTGTGAACTAGCATCATCTATGGAGAGTAATAAATAATAACTTACTCATGTTTTGTGGCAAAACATTACATGAGTAAATGCTGAGCTTCACGAACTACTTGTTGATATGATGGATGAAGGGCTGAATTTTGGAGGATTGAATAACATTAATATGCCATTTTCTCCACCTGAAATTCTAACAATGCATCTTAGTATTGTTCTACGGGTTTGGACCAGGGGCAATTGTTCTTAGATTGGTACAGTTTGTTATCTATAGGAGCCAGTACGTCACAAATGATAGTCGGTATGCTAATTGGCGGCAACTTGCAGTTATGCATGTGAAGAGAATGTTATTGAATATTTGGAATAACTTCAATTGTTTTTCTCATCAACTAAAAAACCTAATATATACTCTTTTAATGCAGTTGTATGCATGGTGTGCATGGACAGCTGCCTCGCTAACTGCATGCTCACACAAAGAGGACAGATACGGGGTTGCCCAGATCACTGGTAGTAACGCTGCTGTGATGTCAACGCTGATTTCTTGCCTTCTTGCTGTTGAAACATACATGGGGAAGAAGACCACTTTGCTGTCTGCTAATCAGTTCATGGGGTTAACCGGTTTTAAATTGAGAAACTCAAGCATGGCCAATACTAGCATGAGTAAAAAGAGAGCCAGCCCGCTTCATTCAAAAGCATATGCTGTTGCTGATGTACTGAGGAACTCAATCTACCAAATTGTGTCTGCTTTCCATGATCAGATGGCAGCAAGCAGTGCTAAAAAGGGCATTCTTGAGAAGGATTGGATCGTTAGGGGCAAGCCTCCTTTCGGACCACGCGAACTTCTCGTGCAGAAACTGCTTCAATTCCTCGACTTTAGAGCTAGCTAATTGCTTATTAATTTGCTGGGATTCAAGCCTCTTCCTTTAATCATTGGACTTACTTGCGGACGCATACGAAGAGCTGGTTTTGTTTCTTAACCCCAAACATGATTGGTGGATGGGATGAGCTGAAGGAGATAACATCGGATTTAGTACAAAGCAATATCAAATTTGGATCTTATAAATTGAGTTGTATGGTTGATAGGAAGCACTTGCATCAACTAGTATACCGAAATAAAAAAAATTTCCGGTTTACTTTGTATTATTGCCTATCGAACCTAGGACCAGCTGTATGAAATACTCACTCAGATTCTCTCCAACTACTAAAACATCCCGTGGTGGTTAAATTATTTCCCTCGTTTTTTTTATTCTCAAAAAATGTTTCCCTCGTTTACTTTGTTCTTATTGCTTATTATACTCTGCTAGTAGGATTAAGCCTGGATCAAACTGGTAATGCCTTAAACTATTTCGAACATGTCAACCACATGATTTGAGTATTTCTGGCCATGCTTTGCTGGGATGATGATCCGAGCAAATAAAAAGTTGACAAAATGGAATGACTTCTTGCTTTCTTGTTTTGCTTGTTTGGCTTTTACTTACATAAGAAATGCTTAAAGAATCAAACTATAGAATTAAAAAGAATCTCACTTATCAGTTGGTGGTGTCGGGTGAAATAATAATCGATCCTAAGACCTCTCAATTACAAGTGAAGACGAATACCAACCTAAAACCTTTCAATTACAAGTGAAAACGAATATCACCAGACCGTAGTACTAAGTGACGTACAATTAGAATCATAATTATGGATCAACTAATGGGAATAGTCTTGGATAATAATTTTTTATTAGTCAGTCTTAGACTTTGTAAATGCAGAGTCTCTAAACCTTCAAAATTTATCTTATGATACGTATTTAACTTCTCTATTATCATGATCCCATGAGGTTAAATTTCTAGTTTCGCGACTATGAACGTAGAAATTTGGAATCCAAAGTCATTTATAATGATAACCATGACGAAAATAACTGGAGAATAACAACCAAAGCTGCCATACAAGAGTCGAGGGCGACTGTAAACTCTTGTTCGGTGTGGGATTTTATTGCGAGACCACTCCGATTAATGGATGAGAATTTTGCACACCATATTGGACAAGGCATATCATTATTCTCTAGCCGAACAAATTAACAAAACGTCCAAAACTCCCGGCAGAAGCAATCGCCCACCCAGTTATCATATTTCAAATCATTTGGTGTTTGCTACCTTCCCGTGGCGGGTAGAGTGTCCTGTTGGCCTAGAGCTAGACTCGATTTTCTCGTATAATCAACTACTTTAGGATAATGCTGTTCCACACCTTTTTTTTTTCTCTCATACATATTTGTTAGTTTTTTGTGATTAATCTTCTTCAATTCATTCTATTTGAGGGCCGAAAATTGAGAGGGTGTGTGAGAAGTAAAGATAATTGTGTGTATAGCACAACCCTTATTTTATTGCCCTACTAATTAGGTACAAACCCATATTGTTAAGCATATAAAAAGTGAATGGTTCACAAAATTATCTTAACATTTGAAAAATAAGTGGAATAAAACTATGCGTAAAAGACTGTTTACTACCCTCATGTTTTGTGGTTTTCAACATTTAGTACATCAAGTTTTTTTCGTCTCAGATTCATACCTAAAGTGGAAATTTTGGGACAGTCTCCTACATCCGTTAGTCAAACTGTTAAATCTGCCGTTAATTGTGATGTGGCGCCATGACTGGGTGCCACGTGTCATCCACGTTTTTTTTCTTTTCTTCTTTCTTCTTCTTCCTTCTTCTGCAACTTTTTTTTCTTCCTCCTCCTTCTTCCTTCCTCCTTCTTCTGTCCCCTTCTTCTCCTTCTTCCTTCTTCCTTCTTCCTTCTTCTTCCTTCTCCTTCTCCTTCTCCTTCTCCTTCTTCCTCCGAATCTGGGGAAGTTTTGTTTTGTTCTTATTTTTTTTCTTCTTCTTTCTTCTTCTTCCTCCTTTTTCCTCCTCCTTCTTCTTTCTTCTTCTTCTTCTTCTTCCACTGACTGCAACTTCTTTTTTTTTTTTTTCTTCCTCCTTTTCCTTCTTCCTTCTTCTTCCTTGAATCTGGGGAAGATGAAGAAGAAGGAAGAAGGAAGAAGGAAGAAGGAGAAGAAGAGGAAGGAAGAGGGAGAAGAAGGAGGAAGAAGAAGGAAGAAAAAAAAAGTTGCAGCTGGAGGAAGGAGGAGGAAGAAGAAGAAAGAAGAAAGAAGAAAAAAAAAAAACGAAAAAAAACCTTCATCTTCCCCAGATTCGGAGTAAGAAATTCGGAGGAAGAAGAAGAAGGGGAAGGAGGAAGAAGAAGGAAGAAAAAAAAAGTTGCAGCTGGAGGAAGGAGGAGGAAGAAGAAGAAAGAAGAAAGAAGAAAAAAAAAACGAAAAAAAACCTTCATCTTCCCCAGATTCGGAGTAAGAAATTCGGAGGAAGAAGAAGAAGGGGAAGGAAGAAGGAGGAAGGAAGAGTGAGAAGAAGGAGAAGAAGGAGGAAGGAAGAGTGAGAAGAAGGAGAAGAAGGAGGAAGAAAAAAATAAATAAAAAAAATAAAAAAACCTTCATCTTCCCCAGATTCGGAGGAAGAAGAAGAAGAAGAAGAAGAATGAAGAAGGAGAAGAAGGGGAAGGAAGAAGGAGGAAGGAAGAAGGAGAAGGAGGAAAAGAAAAAAAAAATGTTGTAGTCGGAGGAAGAAGAAGAAGAAGAAAGAAAAAATGAAAAAAATGAAAAAAATGAAAAAAAATGAAAAAAAATTTTTCCCTACATTCGGAGGAAGAAGAAGAAGAAGGAGAAGGAGAATGAAGAAGAAGGAAGAAGAAGGAAGAAGGAGAAGAAGGGGAAGGAAGGAGGAAGGAAGAAGGAGAAGGAGGAAGAAAAAAAAAAGTTGCAGAAGAAGGAAGAAGAAGAAAGAAGAAAAGAAAAAAAAAACGTGGATGACATGGCACCACGTCACAATTAACGTCAGATTTAATAGTTTGACTAACGGATGTATGAGACTGTCCCAAAATTTACACTTTAGGTATGAATCTGAGACGAAAAAAACTTGATGTATTAAATGTTGAAAACCACAAAACATGAAGGTAATAAACAGTCTTTTAGCCTAAAACTATTTGTTGGACAAGACATATCATTATTCTCCAGCCAAACAAATTAACAAAACGTCCAAAACTCTCGGCAGAAGCAATTGCCCACCTACTATATGTGCCTTGATTTGGCCCTTGAGAGAATTGTACTACACAACAACGTACTAAGATATGAATTTTGATTAATTCTACTATAGGCAAAGTACCTGAGTTTGGCCAGATTTTTATTTCCTTGTTAATGTTAGAGCATTCAAGCCTTGCAATGCATGCAAGTCTTAGTATTACAAAAGAAAGTCCTTGGGATGGGCAGATGGGAAGCCTTTCCTTCATTAGTGAAAGCTAAAAGGTTAGGAGAGTCTTTCCAGGACTGTCGCTGGTCTTGGATTCCAAGATCAGCCAATATGACGGCGGACTCTCTGGCGTCGCATCGGTGTGTGGAGATGTGCGATGTTTCATGGGTCAATAGACCCCCATCTTCTCTGGTTTTTGTGCTCCATAGTGATGGATTACCCTGTCCTCCGTAAGGTTTTTTTGGGTGCAGTGGAGGGGGCGACATGCTAGCTTGGCTATTATGTCTTCCTTGTAACTCCCTCTTCTGTCCGCTGTTTCTGTTTCTTTCCTGTTTGCTTGCCTTGTTGTGGGCTTTCTCTGTATTTCTGGCATCTTTGCCTGGGTAATGAATCCCTGCTTCCAAAAAATAAAAACAGAAAGTCCTTGAAGATTTTACTCACGTGTGAGGCCAAAATAAGGCGAACACATAATTATATTGAGTGATGTGGAGCACATGTCGCCAAATTATTTGTGTGATTGGATTTTATTCTAAAATACATCTATATAAACAAACCAATACATATATCCTCGTACCTTGGAACTCAAGTACTACTCAAAAGCCATTTTGATTTCGTCTTCTACGTAGTGTTTTCGTAATTAAGTTTTAGTACGTCCTCAATATCCAAATGGGTAGCTTAAATATTGACAATCCACCTGAAAACAACTCTGTCCACCACATGACTAAAGACCCTCTGGACCTTGTGGCGTTCAGGAGACAAGGACACATGATGATAGACTTCATTGCAGATTATTACCAAAACATAGAAAAACACCCGATTCTAAGCCAAGTCCAACCGGGCTATCTTCGAAAACGTTTGCCAGAATCTGCCCCATATCACCCTGAACCCATAGAAGCCATCCTCCAAGATGTTCAGGACCATATTGTTCCTGGCATAACACATTGGCAAAACCCTAACCACTTTGCCTACTTTCCTGCAACTATCAGCACGGCAGGATTCCTCGGCGAAATGCTCACCACGGGATTCAATGTCGTGGGGTTCAACTGGATGGCATCACCAGCTGCAACTGAGCTTGAAACCGTAGTCATGGATTGGCCTGGAGACATGCTCAAACTTCCCAAGTCTTTTCTTTTTTCTGACAATGGTGGTGGTGTGTGTTGTGATTGGCTCATATTTTGAGCTGTTAACAATTAAGTGACTTTGTGTGTTATGCTTTCGGAATAGTGGCCAAATATGTCCATATCTCATTTTGGCTAATAGTGGAAGACAATATGATGTTTCATGGGATTCCTTTGTTTTGGCAATTTTTATTCATTTCCCATTTGCATGCCGAAAGTGGTTTTGGGTTTTGAGAAAAGGGAGCATGATGGATCATCATTGTGTCTATGAAAAAAAGGAGAAGTTGACTCACTTTTCTGTCCATTTAATTGCAAGGAGCCGAAGTGGAGAAAGGAGAGAGAGAGCATTCGGCTCTCTCCTGAGAAGGCATCAGAGAGCATCTAAAGGGGGAGAGCATTCGGCTCTCCCATGTGAAAGCATGGGCATGGGTGAGAGAAAAATCAAGAGAGCTAGAGTGAAAAGTATTCTAGTGAAAGAACTCTTGGGGTAGAGTGAGGCTCTTGGGAAAATTCTATGAGTGGGTGTGCAAGGGATTTGGGATTGGGTTATGTTGATTTAACTCATGTGTACTTGTACTGTTATTCTCATAGTGAAGAGCAATATCTCTCCGGGGACGTAGGCAGGATTTTTGCCGAACCTCGTAAATTTCTCGGTGTCTTTATTTCTTGTATTTTATTCTGTTCAACTGAGTGTGATTTTGGTGAGGTTGTAATCTGAATCTCGTTTCCGCACTGATGAACGGACCAAGGCACAACAATTGGTATCAGAGCATCGTTGGAAGCTTGGTTCGTTGGAGGTCCAGATTTGTTGTTCACCATGGAATTTTCAGTTGAGCAGTTTAAAGGGAGAGGCGATTTTACTCTTGGTAATGGAGAGTAATGGAAGCCTGAAGAAATGGAAGCCGTGTTCAGGGATGCTTAGATCAACTACGAAAGTTGATGTTGAGGAAGAAGACAAAGGCCTCTTTCTTCTTACCTCACTTTCAGATTTGTCTTAGAACCTTGTGAAACTTTACTGCATGGAAAGTTACAGTAAGTTTGGAGCAGGTGCAAGCTTCTTTGGTGTGGAATGATACACAAAGGAGACCATGGATAATGGTGGGCACAAGACTGCTTAAGTTATTAAAGGTTGGAATCGTGGAAGAAAATTGGAAAGAGGATCTGAGAGAGACAGCAGGTTCAGATCCGGTTCCGGAGGCAAGGGTCCACAGTGCTACAGGTGCTAGACCGAGTTGTAGCAAGTTTGTGGTGGAAGACTTCGAGTATGTCCTCTAGGTACTCAAAAGCAACACTTCTCCTGGTGATGTTTAGTCTCAAGTGTTGCAGGGGTTTTGCAGCAGGTGGAGCTATAGGATTCACAGGTGATCAGATGGTCCTGAGGTAGGAGGAAGTGTGGGAATTTTGTCTGGCTCGATGGGTTGTTGCTGGAAACGGGCGCGCTGACGAGTTTCCAGGTTGCAGACAATGAAGAGGAGGAAAACCTATTGGAGGAGACGAGGATGTGTCGAGATCCTGTCTGAAGCTAAATTGTGATTTTTAGCTTGCAGCAGCTGCACATGCATTGGCAGTGACTGAATCGGAACAGGACCAACGAGGTTTATTTAGTGTGTGTATGCTGGGTGCAAGGATTTTTTGCACAGTATATTCGCCAAGGTGGAGATTGTTGTGATTGGCTCATATTTTGAGCTGTTAACAATTAAGTGACTTTGTGTGTTATGCTTTCAGAATAGTGGCCAAATATGTCCATATCTCATTTTGGCTAATAGTGGAAGACAATGATGATGTTTCATGGGATTCCTTTGTTTTGGCATTTTTTATTCATTTCCCATTTGCATGCCGAAAGTGGTTTTGGGTTTTGAGAAAAGGGAGCATGATGGATCATCATTGTGTCTATGAAAAAAAGGAGAAGTTGACTCACTTTTCTGTCCATTTAATTGCAAGGAGCCGAAGTGGAGAAAGGAGAGAGAGAGCATTCGGCTCTCTCCTGAGAAGGCATCAGAGAGCATCTAAAGGGGGAGAGCATTCGGCTCTCCCATGGGAAAGCATGGGCATGGGTGAGAGAAAAATCAAGAGAGCTAGAGTGAAAAGTATTCTAGTGAAAGAACTCTTGGGATAGAGTGAGGCTCTTGGGAAAATTCTATGAGTGGGTGTGCAAGGGATTTGGGATTGGGTTATGTTGATTTAACTCATGTGTACTTGTACTGTTATTCTCATAGTGAAGAGCAATATCTCTCCGGGGACGTAGGCAGGATTTTTGCCGAACCTCGTAAATTTCTCGGTGTCTTTATTTCTTGTATTTTATTCTGTTCAACTGAGTGTGATTTTGGTGAGGTTGTAATCTGAATCTCGTTTCCGCACTGATGAACGGACCAAGGCACAACAGTGTGTTACATGGGAGTACGCATGAGTCCGTAGTTTGCACCATGGTAGCTGCAAGAGATCAAATCTTAAGTCAAATCGGTAAAGAGAATATAGGAAATTTGGTGTATGGATCAGATCAAACACATAGTGCACTCCAAAAAGTTTCTCAAATTGTTGGAATCCACTCGAAAATTTTTTGGGCCATTGAGACTACAAGATCATCATCATTTGCACTCTCACCCGAATTGCTACAATTGGTGATTTGTTCAGACGTGAAATCTGGGTTGGTTCCATTTTATTTATGTGCCACAGTAGGAACAACCGCAACCGCTGCCGTTGATCCATTGGGGCCACTATGCAATGTTGCAAAAGATTATGGCATGTGGGTTCATGTGGACGCTGCATATGCCGGGAATGCTTGCATTTGCCCTGAGTTTCGTCATTTTATTGATGGAATTGAGTGTGCAAATTCGTTCAGTCTCAGTGCGCATAAATGGTTCTTCACTACTCTCAATTGTTGCTGCCTTTGGGTTAAGAATCCAAGTGCATTGACAAACTCAATGTCTGTGAATCTTGAGGGGTTGAGGAACAAGGCCACAGATTCAAAGCAAATGGTGGACAACAAAGACTGGCAGATAGCCTTAACCCGAGGGTTTCCGGCCACGAAGCTATGGCTTGTGCTTAGAAACTATGGAGTGGAAAACCTTAGAAACTTTATTAGAATTTAGAAGTGATGTAAAAATGGCCAAGCGTTTTGAAGGGCTTGTGGGGATGGAAAAAAGGTTTGAAGTTGTTGTCCCGAGGAATTTCTCTTTGGTTTGTTTCAGGGTTTCACCGTCGGCAATTAGCAACAATACTCCAATTCCAAGTGATGAAAACGGTGTAATTAACGAGGTAAATTGCAGGTTACTGAAGGCCATCAATGGGTCAGGTCGTGTGTACATGACTCAGCTGTGGTGGGAGGTATGTATGTGTTACGTTGTGCAATTGGTGCAACTCTCACGGAGGAAAAACACGTAGTCATAGCTTGGAAGGTGGTGCAAGAGCATGCAGATGCCATCCTCAGCATGTATTGCTAGATATGTCTAGGGGTGTTTTGTATTAGTAGAAATTCAACAGCGACTAAACCCTTTATATCAGGGATGAGTTGTACTTTTTCTTATACAAATAAATAAAGTGGGATGCACAATAATTTTTTTAAAGTGACAATCGAAAATTTTATTGCTGAGTGGAATGTAACATGATAGGTGTTATCACAAGTGCCAACCGAAAAGTTTCCAATCTTGTTATCATGAAAGTTTATTTGCTAAGGGTTCACTACAAGAAATGTTGGCATAGGGCAAGGCTTTCTTACGCAAAGATGGTTTTGTTGCCTAATGATCTTTAGAAACTATGTTATAGGGAACTCTTGATGGTACGGTGCGCACTTGGTGCCTAATGCTCAGTGGGCACCTTTAACAGATGTCTAACATGCCATATCCACACTTCAAAAAAGGTGCCCTATGCCAAGATTTCTAGTAGTGGTTTAGGGTCCAGAGCTTTAAATGTTTCTGAAAAAGTTGATTAATACATGTAAAATTGGCATACAAGAAATAAAAAGATGTTTAGATACTCCATACATAACTAAACGAGAATCACAATGAATGTAAAGGTATGCAGTAACAATTTTTTCAAATTGTGGTTCCCAACTCATCTTAATACATGATGAAAGTCTCTTATTTGTTAAAAACATATATAGGACCTCCAGAACACATAGTACGACTGTCACATTAAGTGGGATCTAAGAACTACTACAACGATTAACTACTGCTTATTACCAATAACAACAATTGTCGTTGCAAAATGTCAAAACCAACCAGCCAACCACTGCTACAACATAAGTAATAACTAGAAAACCAATGGAGAATGCACATCGGAAGAAAGTCTTTGCTCAAGAACATAATTTTACAATTCAATCACATCACCAATCAGAGTTTTTCTTTAAGCTCGAAACCAATCCCTCACCAACTTATAGTGTCTGGCTACACTTGCACATCTTAGTGGAGTCTCATAAATGGAGTTATCTTTCAGTATGTATCTTCACCTCTGTGCTGGACTTACAAATTAAACTGCAAAGAATGGAGGGGAATAGAGGAAATAAGTAAAGAAATAATCATTTAATTAACAAATCACGGGAGTAGTTATACAATGTACTGAAAGACATTCCACAGTTCTAAACCTCTATGTTGTAGCAAATTCAAAATTTTCCTTCGATACATATAGCATCCTTCTATGTTTTTGTCATGATGTCTTGCATTCATCAACAAAATTATATAAGATAAAACCCGAAGGAAAACTACAATATACAAAAGATAAAGCACAGAAGTACATGAGTACATCTAACGGTTAAAACACTGGTAGTACCGAGTACTCCAGAGCACACAAGAAGGTCCCGTATCAAGGGCAAGAGAGAGTGTCTCTGTCAAGGGGCGGCTGCTGTCAAGAGAAAGTGATTGTGCCAGGAGAACCCAACACAAAAGGGTGCAAAGGTTTAAGAAAACACCAAATTAATGAATGTAGGAGAAACTTGAGAGCCAAAGATTGTTACTCATCATGAACGTGTGAGAAATTTGATAGAGTACAATGGTGTAGTTGGAGCTCTAGGTTGTGAGTGGTTTATGTGTGAGCCTTTCCAATATAAAAAGGATAAATTACAAATACAAAGCATGCACAAAACTGGGCTAAGAGCTTGCAACTCAAGTGACTAAGGCAAATTCAAACTTCTATTAAAATTCAGGACAAATTCAAAGCACAGAAACAAACTTTCTCACCACAATGAGCAAAGAAAGACACTCTTCTCTCCAAAAAGGGAAATCGAAAAGAAATTTAAAGAACTGATTTTGCACAGCAAATACGTAAACACGTAGACCTTGAAGAAATGATAAAGGGCAACAAACTTACTAAGAGTACACTGGTGATCAAATATTGTTTATGAATCCTAAGAAGCCCTCTACGATCGAAGTTTAGGTCATGTTTCGTATCCTTTTGGTTATATTTTTTTGTTTTTGAAATCAAGGAGTATTAGCTTCAATATTTTCATTCATCATTTCTAAAACTATAAATTGGTTTCAAATTAAATACCAAACAATTGGTACTTCAACTACCCTTTGTTAGAAAAATAAAGTAAGAAGTCCATATTTCTAATCAGTTTTGTTCCCACACACACTTTGGCATGCAAATGATGTGTTACTGACGGAAGAATATGTATCATATAATAGGGCACCGATTATATATTTTGCCAGTAAGAATCCATATATAATGCCAATTATCGTCAAAAAAAATCTTACAGAATTGAGAAGGTGATATGGCTACAAGTTTAGTCGTGGAACATTAATTCGAATTGCACGTCAAAGCATTATATAACATTTGCCCGTTTAAGAAAAGCATACGTCTAATTCTGAAGCACTTTCATGGGCACAAACTTAAACCTAAGACCACAATCACTTAATGCAAATATAAACAGTAGAAAACTACCAAACAGGAAAAATAACCAGAATTTTAATTTTTTTATTTTGGTGTTGGAGCTGTTATTGACACTTCAAAAAGAATCACACACTTCTTTCTATACAAATTTTATTCGTATGTTTATAAATTGAAGTGCAGGATAATCATTTTGGAGAGCTAATAACAACTTTCTTATAATTTATAGTACAATTTTACTCTATCGATCAATGGATGAATTAATAAAGTGTACTACGTACATAGTACATACCAAGGATGGGCAATTGTTTATTGAAGAAGGCAGGCATGCAATGGAGAATCTCAACTCTCCTCGCCTTCTGATTTCTGCTGTGATTCCTGGGCCGGGTGTGGTTGGAGCATCAGCCGAGCCTGAAGCTGATGGTCTAGGGAATTCTGGTGATGTGCAGCTGCTTCTTGTTGGATCTGGTTATAATGGTTATTATCAAAAGCTCCACCCAAACCCAATGAACCAGACACCACACCGGTACTAGCAGCAGCTGCGGGAATCTGACTAAACCCATTTCCATTAACCAAACTCGCTGCGGCGTCCATCCCATTGATATTGAACCTGACAAGCTCTTGCTGATGAGCCTCGAACAATTGCTGCTGATGTTGGTCGCGAATCAAAAGCTGGCCTCCCCTGCAGCCCTGCTGGGGCGGAGGGCCAGTGGTAGCCCCCAACAGAGGGATCATCAATGCCTGAGGGCCAACATAGGCATACAGATCTTTCTTGGCATTGTAGAGATCAGTCTGGACTTGCTTAAGCCTGTTCTGGAGAAATGAGATGAAACCAACACAACCATACACCGGGTCCCGAAGACGAGCCTCTGCCTCATAGGCCAATGACGTCACCGCATCTTCACGGTATGCAACATTGAGTTCGTTCAGGATCTTGCCGACGTTGCTCGCACCGTAAACCGTGTGAACGTTTGCGAATTTTTGAGGTTGGTCTGGTGGGAAATAGGGGGCGAACACGCATTCTTGCGTGCATTTTCGCCGTTGAAACTTGCACGCAGCGCACGGTGAATGAGTGTTTGACGACATTTTTTTTAGGTTTTACTTGATTTATCACAACAAACTGCAAAGAGGAATTAACAAGAACAAGAATCAGTGATCATTTCATTTGCATAAATTAATGGTCAGAGAACGATAAATATTCATAAAAAGAATTAAAATCCTTAAAATCCTAATTGAATACACCCTTTGGGATTAAGAAAAGGAAAATAATTCGTTCATAATTAATCAACCCTAAATTTAATACATTTATTTATGATCCTTATTCTTTAACCCACGATGAGAATAATTTTAGAGTTCTATAGCTAAATTTTGAGTCTATTGGAAAAAGAAAACCCTAACCTTTGACAAAAAAAAAAAAAAGAAAAGAAAAAGAAAGCCCTAACCCTAGCTAGACAATCAAGAAAGCAGCGAGGAAGAATTTTTTATATAGATAGGCGAAGCGATATCTCCACAATTTCGAATTCCCTTTGTTGCCTCCTCGTCTTTCTGTCTTTCGATGAGAAGAAGTGAGATGAATTAGTAAGAGGGAAGTGTTTAAGAGAGTGAAGAGGGGAGGCGAGAGACTAGTTATTTTTTCTCCTCCGGGGCCTCTGCTACTGATAAGAAATATAACTGGCAGAATCTTTATATATGGTGTGTGTGTGTGTGTGTATATATATATATATGTTATATATGTTTGTTAATGGGTGTTGTTAGTAGCATTCCAAAAATTTCTTATGGGGAGTTCACATGTTAATATAGAAAATACTTAGGCAAAATAATGTATAAGGTATATACATATATATAGTACGTACCATATTAACCATATGAAACTTGATTATAATAAACTTAACAAGACATTCCATATTCCTCTTTCTGTTCACGAAATTTGATTAGGGACGTGATGAGAGTTTTCAAGTCTCTATTCCGTATCAAGCGCAATTAAAATGGCATTGGCACCAATAAATGCTATGAAGTTTGCCTTGTTGCCAAAAGTTGTCATCAACAACACTAGCGGAGCCAACGCGGGGGCATTGGCATCCTTTGACCCCAATAACCTTGTCAAGTTATCCCTTTGAAAATTTTATGAACCCGTATAGTAGCCTGCAACAGCAGCTTTGCAGCAGCACGTTGCTTTGTAAACTTATCCCAATAACCTTTTACTTGTAAACTTATCCTTTTCTAAACTTATCCCTTAAAAAAAAAATTAATACCTTTCTAATTTAACAAAGCTACGTCGTTTGCATAATGAGTTTTCTGCGTTGAAAGGGATTAGTAGCCTTGCACAAAAGTTGACGGAGACAAAGAGGGACCGACAATATCCCTTGGTGTACTTGCTAGTGAAATTAACATTGATTTTAACTGTTGCAACTGCTTCAGTTGAAATAGTTTTTTCGGTGATGAAAATTATGAAGAATCCACATCTTAATAAGATGGGTTGAATGATAGTTTGGTTGTGTACATTGAGAAAGATGTTTTTGGTTCTATTGATAAAAATGTTCTGATTCTATGTTTCTAAAATATGAGAACACACCGTGGACAATTATAAATGAAAGTATGATGGAATTTTTAAAGCTATTTTTTTACCCCATGTTTTAAATTCCTGGTTCCGCCACTGATCAACAACATAAGTTTGATTATGATGAGACCGTCAACTCTATTGTTAAAGGAACCCTTGTCTTTAAATTTAAAGGCTTGTGATGCATATATAGATGCGTTTACCCTATAAATGAGCATCATTTAATTCAATATTTTCACACATAAGCTATAATGGAGCATCAACTAAAGTGCTGTTATGAAAGTTTAGAACAAATTTTAGGGTTTCATTTTCATGAAAAGTGACTACCCATCGTTCAGCTGTGGTAAATCAATTAAAAGGCATGTATTTACGTCTATCCTGGTTCGGTACGGTATGAACCCCTTCCAATTCCTATTAAGGCAAATTGATGGAGTGGCCTTGGGGTTGTCTTGAAATCCTATATGGGTTTTCTTCCTAATCCTGAAACGTTTTATTTGAATCCAAAAGTGGGTTACATAACCCATATCCCAAATTTCGTTTGTAGCGGAAGGCGAAGGTGAGACTTGGGATCTTCATATCTTCTTTGGGTCTCTGAATTTTTGTTTATGCTCTCATCGCAAGAACCCAGCAGAAAAAAGGGATTTTGATGAAATTGAGGTTCCATCATAAAGTCAATTGGCAATATGGGAAGTAGTCTAAAACCATATAAGCACATAGCAAATTTTGTCTTTCACCGATGTGGGACAACTCTCAACACGCCCCCTCCCACGTGTGGCCAATTTTCAAGCATACACATGGACAGCACAACAGGGTGACGTTGAGCGCGTGTGACCGTTTGGCTTCACACGAGGACAACTCTCAACAGAGATAGTTGAATATCAAAGTGCGTAACGAACAAGACTAACAAAAATAATAGGAATATTATTAAACAAACAAGAATACCAGAACGGCTACAAAACCCTACATTGTGAATAACTTGTTCTCTAATGATAACAAAGCACTCTATTTATAATAAACTAACTCTAACCCTAATGCTAACAGGTTAGGCCCAAACTAAACTTATAAGAAAACCCAAACAATATAATACCTAAAATACTAATATATTCCAATACCCCCCATCAAACTCATGACGGTATACGACATGGGTTTGCAAAAAAGCTGATGCGGACTAGCAGACATGCAAACTTGACTTGACTTGATTCTTGACTTGACTTAACTTGATTCTTGATTGCAAATTGGCAAACTGATTCTTGATTCTTGATGGCAAACTGATTTTGGTTCAAACTGGCTAGTGTTGAGAGTATGGAGAAAACCCGTCATTAAACGGACGAGATTTCCATATCTCAATTGTAACAACAAACGACGAAAATTAAAAAACAACTATCACTTTAATGATCACAAATCCAAGCACTTGAGTAACAGTCACAAACAATTCCAAACAGGTTAACAACTTGTGTGGATCCAAAAACTAGCTTGACCATTTTTTTCCCTTTGCCCGTGTGGGCCAAAACCCCAAAACGACCATTTTTTTCTTCTTCCCCCCCCTTTTTTTCCTTCCTTCTTCCTTCCTTTTTTTCCTTCTGTGCAAACCTACAACATCAGCCTTTTCTTTTTTGCGGTGTACGGTTGTGGACGGATCCAGATCCAAGGTGGGGCTGGGGAATGCAGAAATCTTAGTGCGATGAAGCATTTTCAAATTTGGGTGTAAGACAAATTCACCAAATTTTTTTTTTCCAAAACAGAATTTGTTAATGAACAAAACCAGAGGGGTCTTGGAACAACATAAATCCGACCGTGAATCTGCAAGAAAGTAAAGAACACAAGATGTATCATGGTTCACCCCAATGTTTGGGCTACGTCCACACTGATGTTGATATTGTTTCACTCTGAATGGTGAATATACAAGAAGGCTAGAGGCAATGTGCTCTCTAGCTTATTTTCTGTGTTTGCCCTCTCTAAGATGTTTTCTCTCTTCCCATGGCCTAAACCTTGACCTCTCTTAATGAGGAGAGTGAGGAATCATTTTATAGAATAAGGGCTCCTCACTTATTACATATTTGCCCCTTCATTTATTACATAATTACATTTGAGTCCCCCGAGTATTTATACGAGGTCTAAATATGGAGGCCCTAAATATGGTACAAACAGGCTCCATTGTACTTAGCTCATTGTATTTAGACAAGACATCTTCTTCACTGTTGATCTTGGTAAATATATAGCATCGCGCCTACACGCAACCACTGAATTGGTATTAAAGACGTACCTTGAAGGTACTACGAGGGCAAATCCCAATGCATCTCAACAGATCCAACCCCCCTAATCCTCAAAATGATGTTTGCCTTGTTTGTTATGCTGATGCAAGTTACTTATCAAACCCGCACAAGGTAAAATCCCAAAATGGTTATGTCTTTACCGTTAGGGATATCGCAATATCTTGGAGGTCCATGATATGACCTTAGTTGCGAAATCTTCGAATTGTTCCAAGACTCACCTTACTTCACTACGCCACAAGTGAGACATGGTTATGAGTTCTTGTTGAGCATATTTGAAGTACTTGCTGTGTTTTCATTCATCGTTGAGTCCCAATGACAATCCATGAAGATTATGCCGCATGTATCAACTTGACCAAGCCATGATACATCAACGAAGTCAACACCAAGACATATTGCATCCACATCTACATTAGCAAAGCATCAGGAGATTGAAGTCATGCAAACCGATCCCAGACAACCTTGTCGACCTCTACATGATGTCACTGCCGAAGTTAACCTTCCAAAAGCTTGTCCGAGGAATTGGTATGCCTAACTATTCATATGCAATGCTTGTAGTTCTCATTTGGAAGTTATGTCAAACTCAAGAGGAGTATCCAGAAGTATACTCACTTGATCTTAATGAACTCTTTTTCCTTACGATTAGAAGCATTTTTCCCAATAGGTTTTTGCTACCTAACTAGGTTTTAATGAGACACCCATCCTAGGCTGATCATACCCTTGTGAGCTATTCTACTTGCGTCCAAAAGATGTATAGTTTTGACTTAATGCAACTTCTCACTTTTCTCTTTAGTCTATGAGTTTTTCTCCCACCTTGGGTTTTACCATAGCGAAGTTTTGTGAGTTTTACTTTTTATGCATTCTTCCATTGATTTGAGACTCGCATTCACTCATTGTGCCGACAACTTCATCAACTGTACTTACTTCATCACTGAAGACCTGATGCGCCATTTACTTGAGTATTTACACACTCAATGGGGAGTGTTGCAGTCCTATTAGATTAGGAATGTGATTGTGTAAATCCTAATAGATATGTGACACACCCCGACCTAAATCAAGGCATGATGGACGTCATGTGAGGGTGTCGTAGCCATGTGCGTTGTGCGGAAGTAAAGGTGATAAGATAATGTGGGTAAATAAAAACCGAACTAGCTACTCTACACTAGGTAAGTATATAAATATGAGTGGAAGTATTAGAGTGTAGATATACATAATCAGAGCGTAGGTACCAAAGTGCAATCCAACGGGCTAAATACTAATTGTACAGGATATGAAAGAAAACCCTACATTGATAGATATCTGTCAGAACCGCTGTATAGTCCTTGTGAGCCACCAACATGAACTTCTAACTAGAACCTAGAGGGGCACAAAACAGAAAATGTGAGTAGGCAAAAATAAAACTTTTCAAAACCATTTCACTTTCAAAACATATAACCCTCACCGTAAAATCCAAATAATTTTCCTAGAAAATAATAATACGTATGCATATAGAAATCCTACTCAAGAGTAGTGAAAACAAAGCATATGCCATGTCAAGTATCTTAGCAATGAAATAAGTAAGTCAGGTAAAATGAATCAATATAAAATGACCTTATAGCCGTAGTCACCTAACGTGACCTGTACGGTTGAGTCTATAGCTCAACAATCGAATCATGCACACGAGTCGGAACTACCTAATGTGGTCTGTACGACAGTCTAGGTATAAATAAATATGTTAAAGTGCTACGATCATGTGAAGGCTGTGCGAAATATCGCAAGTCACCTACGAGTCGGAATCACCTAATGTGGTATGTATGACGGGCTAGCACATG